TGAAAATATATACCTGTAAAAATATATACCTGAACGAAACTTAATGAAAATATATACCTGTTAAAATACTCTGAACGAAGCTTAATGAAAATATATACCTGTTAAAATACTCTGAACGAAGCTTAATGAAAATATATACCTGAACGAAATTTAATGAATAAACTAAACGAAATAAAAAAAATAGAGAAAACATCAATAGAAAAACATCTCAATAAACTTATATAAAACGAAACATTATGAAAAACATATGAACCTTAAAAAAAATATACTGAAATAATACCAGTTAACAAACACCAAACAAACAACAACAACAACAACAGTGGACTATCTTACAGCACAGAATACCTTATTAAGTAATGATGAGACTGGATGGACCGCTTCTGTCTTTAGTAATACATTTATATAAAAAATAAATGTATATATATGAAGAAAAAACCCGATATATACTATAAAAACCGGGATATGGTCAGAATAAACCGGGATATGGTCAGAATAAACCGGGATATGGTCAGAAAAAACCCGGGATATGATTAGATAAAACCGGGATATGGTCAGAATAAACCGGGATATGATCAGATAAGCCGGGACATGATAAAAAAAACCGGGATATGATTAGATAAAACCGGGATATGGTCAGAATAAACCGGGATATGGTCAAAACAACCGGGAAATGATCAAAACAAAAACAAAACAATAGGATAATGGGATAATTTCTTAACTTTAAAGAAAAGGTAAATTATTGCCAGAAAAACGTGTAGGTAAATAAAGTAATATTTTATGAGTTATTAATGACCCGCAGGAGTTGGTAATACTGCTGGTAAATTATAAACAAGATAGAAGGAAGGAAATGAGGGAGAGAAGGAAGGAAATGAGGGAGAGAAGGAAGGAAATGAGGGATAGAAGGAAGGAAATGAGGGAGAGAAGGAAGGAAATGAGGGAGAGAAGGAAGGAAATGAGGGATAGAAGGAAGGAAATGAGGGATAGAATGAAGGAAATGAGGGATAGAAGGAAGGAAATGAGGGATAGAAGGAAGGAAATGAGGGAGAGAAGGAAGGAACTAGAGGATAGAAGGAAGGAAAAAAGGGATAGAAGGAAGGAAATAAATAATTGAAAGAAAGAAATAAAGGATAGAAGGATGGAAATAAGGAATAAAGGATATAAATAAAGCGATGGAAATACACAACTGAGTAGAACAGAAGAAAATAGGTGGTTATATAAGGGATGGTGTACGATGTGTCTATATCATAGGTGTATAATACTGTATATACGACGATAAAGCGTGTACACGACTATCTGGTGTACACGGTGTTAGTCTGATGTACACGGTGTTAGATTTGGTATACACGGTGTTAGTCCGGTGTACACGGTGTTAGATTTGGTATACACGGTGTTAGATCTGGTATACACGGTGTTAGTCCGGTGTACACGGTGTTAGATCTGGTATACACGGTGTTAGATTTGGTATACACGGTGTTAGTCCGGTGTACACGGTGTTAGATTTGGTATACACGGTGTTAGATCTGGTATACACGGTGTTAGTCCGGTGTACACGGTGTTAGATCTGGTATACACGGTGTTAGATTTGGTATACACGGTGTTAGATTTGGTATACACGGTGTTAGATTTGGTATACACGGTGTTAGATTCGGTATACACGGTGTTAGATTTGGTATACACGGTGTTAGATCTGGTATACACGGTTCGGTTTGCTGTGTTAAGTATAGACATACACTATATACACACACCACACCCTAATGATCCACATATACACAGAACACACACCCAGCATACACTGTCACGCCACATCATACAGTGTAGAAACCCAGGCATACATAAATGACATACACATTACCAGGACGAGTTATACACAATGCATACACAGTGTAGTCCGGTGTATCTAACATATACAGTTTGTCATACACGCCTAGCATACAAGTGGAGTGTATGGACAGAGGGTTGTGTATAATATTATATCAGAGTAAACACAACTATTGTAAATGAATAATACAAAAATATATAATAACAATTATCACAACAACAACAACAACAGCAACTACTATTACTACTACCAAGATAATAATAATAATAATAATAATAATAATAATAATAATAATAATAATAATAATAATAATAATAATAATAATAATAATAATAAATACTATATAAGGAAACACAAGAAAACAAAACAATAAAGATTAAAGAGAAGAGAAGAGAAGAGAAGAGAAGAGAAGAGAAATAAAATAAAATAAAAGATGTATTGATGTAATGTGAAATAAAATCACTGGACCAACGTTTAATCAATGAAAGATAAATTGGCAACACTGCATGACCTCACAACTGTTGCTGTCTGTTGATCGTACCGTTAACAGGGGCCGTATATATGTTAGTACGGCTTAACCTAAATGTAATACAACCCATTCAGGAAAACCGTTCAATTATCTCCAATTATTTTTGCTCCAAACGACTAGTCTTACATCCGTTATTAATAAAAAAAATATTAAATAAAAATGAAATGGCAATGTTGCATACAGTGATGACCTCATAAATGCCTCACACAACGATAAATCGCTGAGTCATCCAAAGTTGTTGACACGGTATGTAATCTGCCGTAATTTTTGACAGCTGAATCTAACAAAAAAAATGACAATCGTAACTTTTTTGTTCATATAATTAAAACCAAATTTCACGTTAATATATATAGAACATAATGTGTTAGTATTATATATTACCTATTATATAAACTAACAGTTAGGCCAATATGTTATCCTATAATGCCACAGTGAGAGAGGAGTTATGGGCTATATATCTGAGTAGTGGCAAATTATTTTTATTTTTTTCATGTTTATCACCAAAAATGTTAATTGGAATTTAACATTTGTGGGGATAATTAATAGATGGTGATATTGAATAGTTTTACCTGGTGTTGAAAATAGTTTATGAAAGGTAATTATATTTAAGACCGTCCGTACCCTGATATTCTAGTTAACTTAAAATTACTATTAACATAATGTGTATTTAGTATGTTTATCTATTCTCCTGATGGTCTATTCAATATAGGTGATATATTGTTGTTGTTGTTATTATTATTATTTACACGACTATGGTTTTCAAGTAGGAATGGAATAAACTGCCAACTCTCCGCCTCCTTGCCCGCCTCGGTTAATAATTAATGTTTTTGTTTGTTACATAGCGGCGATGAAGTGATTAATTTATTTATTTTTTTCAGCCACAATAGATTAGTGACGTGTACGGTATTGTGTTATACTGTGGTGGGTGTTATCTGTCCCGCCCGGAAACATTGAAGGAAGTATACTTTTTTGGGTGGATTAAATAATGCCTATCTGTCTATCTGTATGCATGAATGTATGTTTGAATGTTCTTCCATCAACCATCACCTCAACCCAACCCAGCCCAGCCAAACCTAACCAACCCAACGTAACCTAACCTAACCCAACCCAACCCAACCCAACCCAACCCAACCCAACCCAACCTAACCTCATAGAGACTGTAAACAATTAGGTTAGTTTCTTGGACAAAGTTAACACCTAGAGTACTATAACTAACCCAGCTGAGTACGATACCAACTTCCACCATCCCATGAGTATGATAATTTAACTCTAAGATGGCTATCGTACTCAAGGGGTTAAATCATCGTACTCATGGGGTTAAGTCATCGTACTCAAGGGGTTAAGTCATCGTACTTGGGAACTATCTCAAGTCTTCTGAATGAGGAAGAAGAATGATTTAAGAGCTAAACCACGAATAAAAAAACAAACCAACAAACAAAAACAAACAAGTAACCTACCCTTAAGAGGACAAACTCACAATTATTGAATAACTAAGATTGACGGACCAGGATTATGACATCAAGCTTAATATAATATGTCAACAAATCGTAGCTCCCCCCCTCCTTACACCCGTCCTGAGCTCTGATTTGTTACTCGAGACTCCCCCAATACCATCTCGACCAATAGCAAGCTTTGTATTTGTAAATCGGAAAATATATAAATCTGTTTATATTAATTTTAATTTATATATATACTCAGATTTTATATTATTTGTTAGTGGGAATATAATATTTTGATACGATAAATAATTCATTAATTTTGACTCTCGTAAGAATAGCAACAAAACTGACATTAAATTGTTATAAAATTGTAAATAACTGGTATAAAAACTGGCAAAACTCGGTATAAAAATTGGCAAAAACATTAACAAATAATTAGCATAAAAATTGGTATTAAAATTGGCATAGAAATTTGTTTACCTAAAAAATGGTAACTATTAACAAAAATGATCGAATGTCAACAATTATTTGGCGTTTGTGAATAATGAATGACTTTGTCTTATTCAAATTACCACATCATTTTACATTAAGAATTATATTACAGTAAATTACCTCACTCAATCCATTTAACCCCATTATAATAGATTTAAATCACCAACCAATTACTCCCAATTACCGTCATTGAAGCGAGAGAGAGAGAGTTTTGTAACAGCGGTACTAATAAGAGAAAAGAAAAGAAAAAATCAGAGAAAGAGAAAAAATAAGAAAAAAAATTGAGAAAATAAAAACAGAAAAAAATTAGAGAGAAAAACAAACATTAATCACAATCTTATGAATCCAAAACATTAACCTCACTAAACAAGCAAGAATCATTATCCACAAGGTAAATAAAATTAACCATACCATTACTAAACAAACAAACTACCATTAACCACATATTTAACCAAACTACAAAAACATACAGACAGACATACAAATATATACATAGAAAAATACACAATACACAATAATGCAGACTATGTATACATATATATTAATACTATACAATAATAATAATGTATGCATGGTTAAAGTTGCAGAGGTTTCGGTTAGGTTAGGTTAAGGCTGTACAGGTTCATGTTAGGTTAGGTTAGGTTAGGCTGTGGTCAGGTCATGTTAGGTTAGGTCAGGGTAGGTTAGGTTAGGTTAGGGTGAGTCTTAACCCCCGCCTTACCATCTTGACATCATCTATTGTCTGTATGCTTCTGAACATCATATTTATCATCACTATTGTAGGTTCGTCGACTGTGAGGGGAAGACAGACAAGAAATATATGGTTAGGGAAGTAACTTAACATGTTAGAATATAGGGGTTAACAAATATGGTATATCTTACACCTGTTGGGGGGTAATTTAACATGTTAAGAGTTGATGGGTTAACACATGAGAATCTGTGGGTTAATACAATTGATATATCTTACACCTGATAGGGTTAATACATCATGTTATAATCTCTGGGTTTAACAAATCTGCGAGGGACAAATTAACATGTTAGAATCTTTGGGTTAACATACCTGGTATATCTTACACCTGTTAGTGGTATAATTAATATGTTAGATTACCTGAGTTAATACACCTGTTACGGGCTAATTTACCATGCTACAATCTCTAGTATGTCTTGAACATGTTAGGTGCTTATTTAACATGTTAGAATCTCTGGATTAAACTCCAATTTGAACCCAGTGTAAACTAGCATACCTTATACCTGTTGGGGCTAATTTAACAAGTTAGAATATTTATCAAAACACCTTCATCGAGCCAAAATAACATGTTAATATATCGTGGTTAAAATATCTGGTAAGGATAAATTAAACCCAGAAACAGGTAATTAAACCACAGGTAGACGGTTTAGGGAAAAAAAGGACTTTGAGTGGTAGAATGTCCGGATTCTGAAGGGGGAAGAAAGTTATTAAATACGAGGAAGGAAATTAGTCGGTGAGGAAAACAAGTCGGGTTTTAAAGTACTAGATGAAGGACATTCACTCCAAAGGCAGAAACTCCGCTGTTAGGAAGAAAGTCTGGATGGAAGGAAGGATTAATTAAAGAAAAAACTCAGCATTTGGGCAGAAAGTCGGGCATAAACTCATCTGTTGGAAGAAGGTCTGGATGAAGGGAATGATTCATTAGACAAAATCTCAGCATTTGGGCAGAAAGTCAAGGCATAAACTCCTGTTGGGAAAAAAGTTTGGAAGGAAAGATTTTCACGAGACAAAAACTAATCATTTGGGCAGAAAGTCGGGGGCATAAAAATCCTCTGTTGGGAAAAAAATTTGGATGGACGGAAAGATTCACTAGACAAAAACTTAGCACCTAGGCAGAAAGTCGGGGCATAAACTCCTCTGTTGGGAAGAAAGTCTGACTATACTGTGTCTAAAAATCCCAGAGTCACTTTCAAACATTAATAACCAAACCAACCAAACTAATCCAGGTTATGGGAGCAGGTAGTTAAACACGGCAGGATAACACCGTAGACTTTTATATATAATATTTTTAACTATTTAGGTTATTTCATATTATTTTCATCATCTTTTGTTTTATTATATATTACAAAAAAAAATCCCTGTACCTTCATATACGGAATCATTATATCAACAAATTCAACAAAAATCATATATTTCCTTGTATTAAAGAAATCTGCCTATAAACACCTACATTATTTAGAAATAACTAAAAATTCCCATTATATAAACACAATATAGACATCGATCAACTCAAATTATATAGATCTTAGGTATATTATATAGATCTTAGGTATATTATATAGATCTTAGGTACATTATATAGAACTTAGGTATATTATATAGAACTTAGGTATATAGACACAAGACAATCTGACTACGGTATATCTATATAACGTAGTTTTATGGGAGGTAACAAGGGGCTTCTGGTTTGTAAACTATGTGATGTAAATGTGAAGTGGGTGGAGAGGGGAGTTATGAGGGGGAGGAGGGGGATAATGAGAGGGGGATTTGAGGGGAATAGGGAGAGAGGGAGGGAGGGAAGTGTTTGATGATGAGAGGGGAGGAAGTGAGGAGGGAAGAGAAATATGGTGGTTTATGAGAGGGGAGGAAGGAAGGAAGGAAGGAAGGAGAGAGGGGAAGAGTTGGATAATGAGAGGGAGAGGGAAAGAGAGAATTGGCTAGTGGGGAGAGGTGAGAGGAAAAGAAATGGATGAGGAAAAATGGGAGAAAAGGATGAGGAGGAGGAAAGAGGGATAAAGAAAGGTGAGGAGGAGGGAAGAAAGGGAGATAGAGAGTAAGGAAGGGAGGAAGAAAGGGAAAAGGAAAGGAGTATATTCTCGAGGGTATTAATCATTGAACGAGAGAGAGAGAGAGAGAGAGAGAGAGAGAGAGAGAGAGAGAGAGAGAGGTAAGTTATGAATTATTCTTGGCTGTACGATGACGAGATGTGTGTGTGTGTGTGGGAGGAGGGAGGCGAGCGAGGTCACACACATACAACGATATTACAGGCAAATAACACACACACACACACACACACACACACACACACACACACACACACACACACACACACACAGTATTACCATCAAGTAAATATTACATATATTTTAACTTCTTATTCAAGGTGTGTGTATGTGTATGCATGTATGTATGTATGTATGTATGAAAGTTTGGTGTACATATTTGTGGTGAATATTTGCATTTTAATATTATGTTACGTTAAAGAAAAACACATTGAGTTTTATTTGTGTTATTGTTGGTGTACTGATGAGTGTGTGTGTGTGTATGTGTGTGTGTGTGTGTGTGTGTGTGTGTGTGTGTGTGTGTGTGTGTGTGTGTATGTGTGTGTGTACAGACTATACACAGCAGACCGTGTATGCATCCGGTTGACGTATTGCGGTGTCGTGAGGGCCTGTGTCTGTCTGAACGTCTGTATGTACGTCTGCGCATGTATGTATGTATGTATGTATGTATGTATGTATTGGGTCTCATTTATACTATACATATCGCAGATATATCCACACAACCTCACAACAGACAGACAGACAGACAGACAGAGACAGACACAGACACAGACAGACAGACAGACAGACAAAGACAAACAAACAGACAGACAGACACAGACAGACAGACAGAGACAGAGACAGACTACAGACAGACAGACAGACAGACACAGACAGACAGACAGAGTATATTACAGACATACAGACAGACAGACAGACAAAGACAGACAAAGACAACAAACAGACAGACAGACACAGACAGACAGACAGAGACAGACACAGACAAAGACAAACAAACAGACAGACAGACACAGACAGACAGACAGAGACAGACACAGACACAGACAGACAGACAGACAGACACAGACAGACAGACAGACACAGACACAGACAGACAGACAGACAGACAGACACACCTCTCTCTCTCTCTCTCTTCACTTCACAGACTTCTTGAATTAAGGCGAATACTTTTTTTCCACACAATTTCGTAACAAGATCGCCAGGTGACGGTACTTGGAAACTCACTAATTAGGGTACCAAAACGACTAATTGGCTCGTTAGTCACCTTAATGACTCTTGTAACAATAATTTAATGCCTTTTCACCTGCTAATGAGTAATTGCTCACTTTCTGTAGGTAATTAAGGTAACCCTACTATCACCTTCTGCTGTTGACAGGTAGGTGCGAATATATTGCACATACATACATACATACATACATACATACATACATACATACATACACACAGTCATAAACAACATTTACATAATATTAACTCAACAGTGTCGTAAAAACCAAGAATTTTATACAGATGAAATATACAATTTTTTTTCCGCACAACGTAATACAGATTAGGATGTAAATATTCACTCAGAAACATAAACACATTAAGTAAACACACATTGCCAGACATTATACACATATTACACATTTGACACACACACACACACTTGTTCCTACATAATGCTAGTCTAACCATTGAGTAAAAACTCACACATAGTTTTTTCATCTCTTGTTTATGTGTGTGTGTGTGTGTGTGTGTGTGTGTGTGTGTGTGTAGGTGTGTGTGTGACCTAATCTAGCTTCCCTTGTCTCCACACACACACACACACACACACACGAACCTTCTACCCCATAACCGTTCTCTCTCTCTCTCTCTCTCTCTCTTACTGTTCCACAACAATCATCATATAGTTTTTCCTGTTCACCAGTGTCACGGTACTATCTCACCCTTCCTACCTCTCCTCCTCCCTCCCTCCTCCCTCTCTCTCTCCTCTCAATCCCCTCCGTCTCACTTCCCTGCCCCTTCTCCTCCCTCACAGACTCCACCTCATGATAAAGAAGAAAGGAGTTGTGTGTGTGTGTGTGTGTGTGTGTGTGTGTGTGTGTGTGTGTGTGTGTGTGTGTGTGTGTGATGGTAGGGTGGAATAATCTATTTGTCTGGGTGTCTCTTTTCTTTCTATCTCCATCTGTCAATCCATCCATCCTCTCTCTATCTCTCTCTCCCTACACATATTTCATCTCCTATATATTTATCCGTTTTCTCCTACATACTTCTCCCCACCCCACTGGCAATCCCCTTCCCTCTTCTCCCCCCACTCCCTCCCTGGCCTAAAGACAACAACAACAATAAACAATAACAACAATAACATCCGGACAAAAACACCATCGTTCCAACATTGAGTTAAAATATGAATATGTAAATTTTAATCACAAAGATATGGAGATTTATTGTCTGTGTCTGTGTCTGTGTCTGTGTCTGTGTCTGTGTGTGTGTGTGTGTGTGTATATGTGTGTGTATGACTATATATGTGTGTGTATACGTACGTGTGTGTCGGCGGATGTGTGTATATGTGTACGTTATTAGTGTGTGTGTATATGTGTACGTTATTAGTGTGTGTGTATATGTGTACGTTATTAGTGTGTGTGCATCTAAACTTCCATGTTGTCATGTTTTTCCTCCAGTATGAACGAGGTATTGTCTGGGTTGACGACGTTGTATATTATATGGAAAAAAAAAATATTCACTACAGCCGTCGACTATGTATGTGACCTTAGACTGTTATTGTTTCTGTGTCAGGGTTATGGTGGGCTGGTGGTGGGTTATGGTGGGCTGGTGGTGGGTTATGGTGGGCTGGTGGTGGGTTGCGGTGGGCTGATGGTGGGTTATGGTGGGCCTGGTGGTGGGGTTGCGCGGGCCTGGTGGGTGGGGTTGGCGGTGGGCCTGGTGGTGGGGTTATGGTGGGCCAGTGGTGGCTGGTGGGCTGGTGGTGGGTTATGGTG